GCCACAGGCCGGTCACACGTGGCCCGCGGCTGCGGCAGAACCAAGGTAGAACACAATCGTGACCTGAACCTGAACCTGAACCTGAACCAAGTTTTGTTTTGAAAATTGATCAGATTCTCTCCGCCTCATCGACCTGGTCCACGTCTCTGACCTACAGTCCGTCCTTCTTAAAAGATCCCGCTGCTGCGGCCGCTAACACCTCATACTAGCTAGCTAGCTAAAAGAACAGAAAACAAACGTCTTTGGAAAGTTTCTCTGCTCAGGGTAAGAGAGCCAATGAGGAGACAGAAGAACGCTGCATTTAACAGACAACGCCAGGACTCCTACTGGAAAGATGGAGTCATTACAACAGGTTGTTCCCACGCTGCATAATACGCAGCGATGAAGCCTTCAAAACTGCTCCACCACATGGAGACCAAGGGTTCTGCATTAACAGACAAGAGCGATGTTAGGAGGACGCGCTGACAAAGTTGGCCACACGGTGGACTAACGTTCGTTCTTATCGGCATCATATTATATGTGTTTATGTTGTGATTCATTTTATTTCGTGACATTTATCGTCCACGCCTCGACCGGTCTAAAGTGTTCCCTTCTTCTGTTCTCAGGAGCGAAGCTTTGACTGTAAGGTGTGTGGAAAGGTGTTCAAGCGCTCGTCCACTCTGTCCACCCACCTCCTCATCCACTCCGACACACGGCCCTACCCCTGTCAGTACTGCGGCAAACGGTTCCACCAGAAGTCGGACATGAAGAAGCACACCTTCATACACACAGGTGAGCCCACGACACGCACGCTGCCGCTGGAAGACAATGTCAAAAACACTGACTCCCTCGCTGCTGCCCCCGCAGGTGAGAAACCACACATGTGCAAAGTGTGCGGTAAAAGATTCAGCCAAAGCTCCAACCTCATCACCCACAGCAGGAAGCACAGCAGCGGCTCTCCGCCCGTCAGCTGCCCCCGCTGCCGGCACTCCTTCAGGTGCAGGCTGGATCTACAGCGCCACCTGGAGTCACAGTGTGGCTACAGGAGCAGCTACACTCAGAACTGAGGACAGGAAGTGAAGGACACTGAGATCACAGCAGGAAACAGAATATGATTGGTCAACAAGGCTGGACACTGGGTTCTGTACCGTACTGTACCGTACCATACTGTGCTGTGCTGTGCTGTACCGTACTGTACTGTACTTTCCTGTACTGTAACCGTCATCGTTACAGCTTTGTGTGTGTGTGTGTGTGTGTGTGTTGGGGGGGGGGGGGGCTTTCCAGAACTGACAGAACATGTGTGCACAGGCACCCTTACTTTGCTGGTTCAAATCCCACCTAGTCAGTGTGAATCCTGGCCCTGACAGCCACTATCAGAGGCAGGTGTCAACCTAACAGCACCCCCTGCAGGACGGCTGTGATCGGAGTCAACGAGGACATGGAGCAGTTCCAGGTACCATTTTGATGAAGACTTTTTATTGGACAGAAGAACAACATGTAGACAAAGAACTGTTTCACCACTGGTTCCTCTCTCAGCCACTGACCCCAGGGTTGAGGTCACGACCCTGCTCCAGGGTCAGTCCCAGACGCCACCTCACTTCAGTCCTCACCAAACAGCCGCGGCGTTTCTGTTGAACGACAACGAACATACTGACGAGGACGGAACAAACACACACACACACAAAAACACACACACAAAAACACACAGACAAAAACACACAGACAAAAACACACAGACAAAAACACACACAGCAGGTGTTGAACCTCTGATCCACTTGTTTCTCAGATTTGCAGAGAGAGAGAGAGAGAGAGAGAGAGAGAGAGCAGTGGTTCAGAGTCAGAGCTGCAGCTGTGACTCTGAACCACTGACAGTGAACCACTGACAGTGAACCTCCCTGTATTACTGACTGACGACCATGAAACAGAAAGTCAGAGAAGAAGAAACAAATCTGGTTAAAGAACTTATGAATCTTTTGAATTGAATTGAAGAAGAAAAAGAAAGAATTAACAACCTGCAAACTGTGGCTGAGAATCTAACTCAGAGTGGTCTGTCAGGGTCAGGGTCAGGGTCAGGCTCAGGGTCAGGGTCAGGGTCGGGGTCAGTGATTTGTGATTCCTGTCAGTGACGACAACAACAGAGTTCTACAAACATCTTACATACACACCTTTACAGAGAAGGTGACTACCCCCTGCTGGTGCATTTGGGAAGTAGAGTAAATGTTTCTGGCTATCGTGATCACGTGACCTCTTTTTATTCCTTCTTACCGCGATACAGACAAACACGTCACAGCAACAGCGCCAAAAATACGGCGACCAATCAACAAGCGCCTGAACAACAGTGCCCTCCTGTGTCCAACTTAGATCATTACCCTACAGTCGTGAAATGCTCACCATATAACTCGTATTTTGTCATGTATTTGTATTTGTATTTGTATTTGTATTTGTATGTTTCCTTTCATTTATTTACATACTGTTTTTTCCCCTTGAGGCTAGAAAATTAATAAAATTATTATTTCTCACAAAAATACTTAAAATATTGGAAATTAAACCTTTATTTCCTGTAAAATATGGCGATATAGTGAAAATGGTTTAAAAAGAACCCGATCTCGTGAAATAAAGCAAAAAATGAATTTGAAGACATAAAATACAAATGAAAGTTTGGGCTTCTACTGTGAATATAACTGTGTGTGGGGGGGGTGACAACAGTGGGGGGGGGGTTTGTAAAGGCTAAATATATACGTCAATAATATAATAACTATCTCGACTCTGGTGGAACTACCGCGAAAGGAGTATAGTACACAGTATATACTGTATGTGTGTGTGTACAGTATATACACACCAGTGTGTACTTACTATTTCAAACACATCTGGTCTTCCAAGTATATTGTTGAACTATCAAGAGTACATTGAAGTACTACTGAAGTACTACAGTACTACAGTACTACAGTACTCACCTCTACACTGAGCTGGTGGTCTGTTCAGGCCCTGACAGGAGATTCCAGGTGTGCTGGTCTCCAACACTCTGGTCAGTCACAGGAACCAATCTGGCAGCTGGGGGGGCTTCTCTGTCTGTGTGATTGATCAGAATCGGTTCTGGATCAGACTCGGTTCTGGATCAGACTCAGTTCTGGATCAGACTTGGTTCTGGATCAGAATCGGTTCTGGATCAGACTCAGTTCTGGATCAGACTCGGTTCTGGATCAGAATCAGGTTCTCTCACCGGTGTGATTGTAGATGCACCACAGCGCCCCCATCAGACCGACTCCCATCACGAAGGCTGTGAAGATGATCCCCATCACTGGTCCAGTGTGCAGCAGGAAGCCTGGAAGACAAGGTGTTGGGTTCACAGAGCCCATCAGAACCAGCAGGACTGAAGGACCGGACGAACTGGACTCACTGCTGTGATGTCTTTGACCAGCAGGGGGCCCCAGCAGTTTTGGTGCCAGTGAACTGATGGGCTGGGTGACCACCATGGGGCGGTAGAGGTTTCTGAGCTCACACTGAGACTGACGGTGACACCACAGCAGGAAATGAATCAACTTGAAAATCAAACTTTTGTTTGTGTTTTCTGTTTCTGTACCTGAAGGTTGAGTGACCCGGACACCAGTGGGGGGATGCGCTGTCGCCCCCCGCAGTCAATCTTGGCCGTTTCCTCCGTGGACTGCGGTGCGGGGGGGCCGTACACACACACGCTGAGGCTGCAGTGCAGGAAATGGACGGAGTCGTTGTGGACCGGCCGCAGGAGGAAACTGAACCTCAGAGGTCCGACCTCCTTCTCCTGCGGTTCCACCTTCACAGCCTCCCGTCTCTGGGACAGCTCTGATTGGTTGTGGGGAACTCCGCCTCCTTCGGTCTCCTCCTCTTCCTCTTCATCCTCAGGCTCAGCTCCTGCCCCGGTGCTCAGGGTCAGTGAGGAGTCGGAGGAGCAGCCCTGACTAATGACGGTCCAGAAAGGAGACTTGTTCGGGTCGGACCGGGCGGAGACCACACAGGACTTCACCTCCACAGCGCCACGTAGACCCCCCTCCACGGAGATCTGCAGGGAGACAGAGACACACTGATGCCTGTAGTTGGTGTTTCTGGGCACCTTCAGAGAGATCATGTGACATCACAGCTGACAGACTTCCACGTAGACGCGGTGGCCCGCGGTGACCACACACGGCCCCACCCTCTTCTGGTCGTAGTCTTCGGTAATGAAAAGTTTTAAGCTGAGCAGCGGTCCAGATCTGTTTCTGGGCGTCGGCAGGTGGCTCAGTTCTGGATCGGGTCCTGGGTCCACCTGTTTCCAGGTGACATCATCAGTGGAGTCTGACCTGGAGCCAGGAGAACCAGGGGGCGGAGCCCAGCAGCTGAACTGTGGAGAAGAACCCAGCATTGGACCTGGAACTGCACCGCAGGAAGAACAACAACTGTACAAACACACACACACACACACTCACGTGTACACCCAGTGGACCCCCGGACCACCGCTGCGCCTCCTCTCTGAGGACTAAACCAGTCTCAGGGCTGCCCCCCCACAGTAACATCTGGGTCAAAGAGAAGGGAAGAATCAGACCGCTGTGGAGAGGAGAGGTTACTACAACAACAACACTACAACAACACTCCAACACTACAACAACAACACAACACTACAACAACACCACTTCAAAAACAACACTACAACAACACCACCACAACAACAACACCACAACAACGACCCCTCAACAACACTACAACAACAGCACTACAACAACACTACAAAGATTCTCCTTATTCTTCTGAGAATTTGATCCCACTACCTACCACTAGAGGGAACCCAAGTATCCTCAGTGGTACACATGAAATACATTAAAGAATCACCGAGTACCTGTTTCTGCTGAGAGGTCTGTCACGGTCGGTCTGTCACGGTGGGTCTGTAGTCACCCCCCCCCCCCCCCCCCCGTGTACACCCAGTGGACCCCCGGACCACCGCTGCGCCTCCTCTCTGAGGCCTAAACCAGTCTCAGGGCTGCCCCCCCACAGTAACATCTGGGTCAAAGAGAAGGGAAGAATCAAACCCCCGGGGAGAAGAGAAGTTACTACAAAAACAACACTACAACAACACCACTTCAAAAACAACACTACAACAACAACACAACACTACAACAACAACACAACACCACAACAACAACACCACAACAACACCACAACAACGACCCCTCAACAACACTACAACAACACTCCAACACTACAACAACAACACAACACTACAACAACACTCCAACACTACAACAACAACACAACACTACAACAACACCACCACAACAACACTACAACAACAGCACTACAACAACACTACAACACTACAACAACAACAACAACAACACTGCAACAACACTACAACGACACTACAACAACACTACAAAGATTCTCCTTATTCTTCTGAGAATTTGATTCCACTACCTACCACTAGAGGGAACCCAAGTATCCTCAGTGGTACACATTAAATACATTAAAGAATCACCGAGTACCTGTTTCTGCTGAGAGGTCTGTCACGGTCGGTCTGTCACGGTCGGTCTGTCACGGTGGGTCTGTAGTCACCCCCTCCC